TCTGTGTAAGTGCAGGCCGGGCCTGTGTCCTCCTAGAGGGTCCCAGACACCAATCCACACTGTGCAGTCAGAGACCCGCTGTGCACCAGGAGAGCGGAGCAATGGGAAGGAGGAGGCCTGGCCTGCAGCTGGGATCCTGTGCTCACTGCAAGGCCCGAGATGGGGGATTTCTCAGGCAGAGTCTGGGTTTGCAGAGTAGATGCTCAGGAGGGCAGCTGGGGGCATGGAGACACAACAGAGGTCTTCTGTCCTCTCTGCCCGGAGCCACAGTCCAGGCTCTCCTGCCCGCCCCCATGGTAGTGTGCAGAGCCAGATGCTGGCTCCTAGACCTCAGTAAGAGCAGTTTGCTTCCCTGGGGGACTCCCAGCCTTGACCCCCCGAGGGGATCCATGGTACCCTGCACTGGGCCTGGCTCCTGAATCTGAGCGCAGGCTTTCTTCCCTGCATCCCCACTTGGTATCCACGGTGCTGTCCTCTCATGTTCCTGGGTGACCCCTTAGTGCTGGATCAATCCCCTAGTGTCCCTTATTACTTGGCCACTAGGCCCATGGGAAGTGACATTTCTAACATCCGGGCCAGTGTGGTCCACCCTAACAATGATGGAGGAGCTGCTCACCCAGTTGCCCATAAGGATAGATATAGGAGTCCCTCATAGCTTTTGCAAAATAGCGTAAAAGTTGTAGAATCCCAGGATGTTCCAATTTCCAGTTCTCTTGAAAAGGGGCATCAGGCTGCTGTCCCTGAAGAGAGATGTGGAGGGTGAATCAGGAGTTGCTTCTTGGTGGCTCCCCATTCCAGGTGCTGCTGGAAGAGAGAGAGAGACCACTGTCCCCTGTTTGCCTGTGTGTGGTTCGTGGCTGTGAGCTGAGAGGTGTAACATGGTGGACTGGGTGCAGAGGAGATCCTTACTGTGCTTCTCTGCCCCTGGAAATTTATGAAGATGCGATGCGACTTGGACCAGGCATATCCTCTGCAGAGCAGGTTCCTGGCCTACATTCTATTCCTAGTCCATCTTTATATCCACCATATATTTTCTTTCTGTGCCCCAGAAATCTCTGCCACTATTGGAAAGTCAAATAAAGGACCTTCAGGAGAAGACAGAGTGGAATTACAGAAGTATGGCTTGGACATCCCGGAAAATGACAGAAAACATTCTTCCTCACAGAGGTGAGCACTGCCTGTGGGCCAGTGATGGAGATGCTCACACTGCTGTCCTCTGAGGTTTCTTGGGACTGATACTTCTTGTCCTCTCTGTCCTCAGGCTCCTCCATGCACACTGGATCCACTTAGCCTGCTCACTGCATGGACTCTGCAAAGGCCCTCACTCAAGATCCCCAGGGCATTTCAGAGCCATGGGGTCTCCTGGTAGCAGGGCCTCTTCTGTGCCCTTGTGCCAAAGTGGCCATGAGGAGAGGAATGGATCCCCAAAGTCAAGGTGCACCTCGAAGACACGTGAACCTCTGCTGATACGCTGTTTCTCTTCTTGACAGAAAATCAATGCATTTAATCAGGACATCGGTGCTGTCTGCGTGTGAGTGGGGGAGAACGTGGACGCTGAAGGCATCTGGCTGCTTGACAGACTCTGAACACAGTTCCAGTCATGGAGTTACATGGTTGAGCAGCACTTTGCAAAGGGTGAGTGTCTGAATGTGCTGCTCTAACTAAGAAATCTCAGCAAGGGTAGTTTATGAAGGAGAGAAACCCACTGCTCACACTGCTGGATGCTGAGAAGTAAGAGGTCAAGGTACCAGTTCACAGGGAGTCTGGTGAGGCTGAGGTCTGTGCAGCTGCTTCCAAGCAGTGACTTCTGGTGTGTCCTTACCTAGGAGAGGGCAGGGCAGCTCCTTCTGACTTCTTTTCTACACACACCTGGTCTATGCAGGTGCAGTCACCCAACACCTGGGATCTTCCTAAAGACCCACCTCTGAGTGGCACCACCTGTGGACAGTTTCCACATGTGAGCTTGAGGGACACATTCTGACCACAGACCTGAGTCATGGGGCAGCCCAGCAAGTGCTGTGCTCTATGAGGACAGAGGGGACCCTGATGTGAGAGGTGAAGACCCATGGCTGGAGTAGGAGTTTTCAACCCCATAGCCACACAAGCTGTGTTCCTTGTTACTAAATGAGGCTAAAAGGCACCTGTAACTGATTTCAAGGGACACATAACATATTGGTCAGCTTTCCCATTGCTGCCCCCAAAATACCTGACACAGAAAATTGAAAAATGGAGGGCTGGGGATTATAGCTCAGGGGTACAGTGCCTGGCTAGCAAGTGCAAGGTCATTAGGTCAATTCTGGATTTAAAAAACAAAAAGAAAGAAAAGAAAAAAGGAAACAAAACAAAACAAAACAGAAAGCAAAAGAAAATAAGAGAGGAGAGGTTTCCTTCTATCAGTTTCAGAGTACAGCTGGCTCCAGGGAAGAAACCTGGTGGAAGGGCGTGGCAGAGCACGCCCTGTGCTCCCCACAGTGGTTAGGAAGCAGAGCCCCTGGGAAGACAGTAGAGAGAGATGTGTCACCCACAGGCACCCCCAGTGATCCAGCTCTGCCTCCTCTCAGCACATTCACTGATGCAATTAGATTAATCAACCCAGAGGTGCAGTGCCCCTGTGATCCAAGCACATCTTCAGGAACCTCTGACTCCAGAATGTTTGACAAGAAGCAGGAAGGAAACCACCCATATAGCATGCTGTATCTGCCAAGTAACTTTGCTGCTCTTCATGGAACTTGATAGGAATCTACAATTCATTTGGATCAGCCAGAGGTTCAGAGTAACAGTTTTCTTTGCTTTTGGTAAAGAACATGGGACAAAGGGCCACTCTGTCTTTTGGGTTGTCTACACTGTGGATTGGACTTGCCATGGGTAGATGGTATGGTGGTTGGATAGAATACATAGAAGGCTTCACAATATTGAGCCCCTGTCACTGTCATTTGGGGGACAATGCTACATCAATGTTGACCATGCCCAGTGGAACCGGTGTTGCTGAGCATTTTAAAGCCACGCATGCTGCAGCCTAGAGAGGCATACAGGAGCTGTCCTGCTGACGTGCCTGTCTCTATTTGGTCAGATGCAGTCCAGAACACCTTCACAGATGTGTGTGAAAAAAAATTTCACTGAACTTTTTAACCTCCACAGAGCCACCAAGGTAAAATAAATAAAAAATTATTCTAATTTGGAGTCCAGGACGTTCTTCTGTTTTGCTAGAGCATGATGTCCAGCAATATCATGAACCCAGATCTGGAGAAGAAGTTGGCAAGGATAAGGCTAAATCTTCCTTGGCCCCTATTGAAGAAATAGACTTAGAATGCCCTGGAGATAGTAACCAAAATGGGAATCAAAGGTATGAGTAGGTGACAGAGTATATAGTGATAAACGTTGAAAGTTAACAATTTATTTTTTATTTTATTTTTTTTTTTTGCGGAACCGGGGATTGAACTCAGGCCCTTGCACTTGCCAGGGAAGCGCTTATTCCACTGAGCCATCTCCCCGGCCCCTAACAATTTATTAAGACAAAATAAAACATTAGGAAATATATACTGATTATATATAAAAGATTTTATTCCTTCCAAATTCTTCTAAGAGATCTCTGCTAACTGACAACAAAATCTGACTAGTGTATTTATTAATTCCTAAAATTGTAATAAAAATATAATTCAATTTGGTCAAAAAATATATGAGTTGACTCTGTTTTGTCAGATGTTTAAGCTGTTCATCTGTGTGCTTGTTGTCTCTCTGTTCATCTATAATTCCATAACAGCCATTCCCTTTTTATTTGAGTGCAACACTTTTTTTTTTCCTTCTTGCATTTTTGGACCTTTCTTCATCATATAGTTTTAAGACTTGAAAGCATGCTTCCATCTGTGTCAGCAGCTGGTCAAAATGGTATCAACCTGGAAAGGTGCTGCCAGGTTAGGTGTCCAGAGGTTTAGGTGCACTGAGAGCTGGTGAATTTGGAGAATTTCTTTTGGATCCTCCTTGGTAACTGCTTCTTATTTCCTGCACCCCTTCTGAACCTGGGGCTCAGAATTCTCCTGGCAGGACTGAGGAGACACACAGGGCTGCAGAGGCGCGGCAATGGTTCCCATCACCCAGGTCATGGCACTGTTACACCAGCTATGTGTCCCGTCACTGCTCCTTCTACGGTCCCCACTGTGTCAGTGAGGTTATGTCCCTGCTGTCTCAGTGAGGAGGGAATTTGCTCAGGCTCTCAGGTACCTGCAAGACTTGGAGGTGAACCCTGGCATTGTGCTGGGAAGGTCTTGAGTGCTTGGTCATTTTGATGGGTTCGCTCCTGGGCCATCCCCACAGCACCTGTGTGAAGTTCCTCCAGATCTCACTCTGTAGGTTACATTCTAGCTTATGCTTGTGGAGGAGCTCAGCACTCATTTCAGAGGGCTCTCCAGGCTTTGCACCTCTTCCTTGGAATTAAATCCCTCTTGAGCATTTGCTTCCAGCCTCAGTTCTGCCTGAGTCCACTGTGACTAGGAGCAGGCCCAGCTCAGCCTCAGGGTGACAGAGAGCTGTCCATGCCAGCCCTTTTCATGAGTCATCGCCTCAGCCAGGGAGGGAGCTGCTGACTCAATTCACAGGCAGGAAGTGACACACCAGTGGGAGGGGCTTACAAGGGACAGAGTGCTGCCCAGTGCACAGCCAGTCCTGGGTACAGGGGTGAGGACTCAGCTGGGGCCATGACTCTGACCTGCCAGTCTACCTGCCCCTCTCAGCACTTGCCTGTCCCCATCACATCAGGGGTTCCTCAGCAGGTGATGCAGGTCTCCTGTCCACAGCACCCAGGGACACTGCTTTGGGGCTCTGGGTTGCAGCTGGACAGTGACGTGGGGTGTGCAGCATGATAGGAGGATTTAGTGCATTTTAAAGTAAAGGAATAGTTTGATTTTATTACATTCAAATTTTATTAAATTCATGAAAACAAAATTTCCTATTCATAAGAACATGGATTGGAAACACACACACACACACACACACACACACACACACACACCACTTTTCCAAATGAGGGAGGGAGGGAGGGACAGGGCAACTGGAGTCATGTAAGCTTCAGTATCCTGAACTATCTTGCAACCCGATGACCGCCTACCTGAAAGAGGGTACAGAGTGGGCACAGGGTCAGGCTGGGCTGCTCAAGACCATGCAGCTCCAGGTCCCATAGCTGCAGCTAAGGCAGTGGTGGCTTCACCCTCCCCTGTCTCTGGTTCCCCTTGAAGGCTGGTGCTGAGGAGCAGCTCTGGCCCTTGAATGGCAGGAGAGGGGCAGCAGAAAAGATCCCTCCACAACTGATCTTCCCTGTGCCTTTTCCAAGGCAGAACAGCCCTCTTCCTGCCAGCGAAGCCCCAGCTGCTGGCCCCCCAGCAGGACTCGGTCCCTATTGGGCTACACGCCCATCTCTGGTCCCAGCCTCCTCCTTTGCTCCCGGCCAGCAAGCAGACTATGGAGCCTCCTCCTGGTGGGTCCCAGAGTGACCTGTTACCCCAGCTCCATGCACCCACCCTGCCCTCCTCACCCTCAGGATCGGATCATACTTAGCGGGTTCCACGTCTGGCCAGGAGTATGCACACTTCAGGGAGAATTTCTGAATGTGGAAGGTTGATTAATGCATAGGCTATGAGCTGCTTCAGACTGGTCAGGTCTGGGCCCTGGCAAAAGTCTCCTGGGTATTGAAGCAACCAGGTCTCAAGGAGGGAGCTCAGAGCACTAGGGGCAGAAGGGAAGGAGAATCAGGGGCCTGGCCTCTCCCTTGACCTAGTCTGTTACTGTCCCTGAAGGAGGGCTGCTGGCAGAGCCTGCCCTGCCCAGGGGCCACTGTACCAGGCACGGTGGGGTCCAGGCATGAACATCTGTACCCATTCCTTCTGAGCAGCCTCCATAGAGGCTGGCATGTGCTCCTCTGGCTGGAAAGGAGCAGATCGATCCTCAGGGGCACCTGCTCTGAGCCCCACGCACCCCCTTACTCCCTTCTTACTCAGGACCCCAACCACAGTTCTCCATCTTTCTTCTCCATGAAGTGCAGCCTCCATCCCCAGCCTTTAGCAGGAATCAATGAATGGTGTGTGACCCCGGGATTTCCCTGCTCCACAGACGCCCAGTGGCTCAGATGAATCCCTCTCTGGAGACAGGAGCCTTCCCTCTTAGCCTCAAGCCTTCTCACCTCTTGTTTTTCTGGTCCTCTTCACACTTGGGGTGGAAGAATCCATACCTAGAAGGGTCAGGAGAGTGTCACCTGATAGCACCCAGTGTCCCTACCTGCCAGGATGTCTAGGGGGTGATCTGATTCCCGAATGAGTAGAGAAGCAGGGGAAGCTGAGAGGTTCATGTGTGCTGCTCCCTGGATGACAGAGAAGTGTCAGGAAAGGTGCTGCACACAGTAGGTGCATTGCACACCCTTGTGCAGTGAATGAACCAGCTCTTGCCCAGATGTCTCAGTATCCAGGCTGCACAGTTTGCCCCTAGGGGGCGCTGCTCTGGATTAATGTAATGAGGAACTTGGGAAAGTGAGGCCCCACGTACACAGCTCATTCACTGGCTATGGGGAAGCTCCACAGCTACCGGCTGACAATCCTGCACAGAGTCAGACCTGGGGTAGGTGGTCTGGGGTCTCAGCCTACTTGGTCTATGACTCCACCATCTGAGGCATATCTTCTAAGCACACAGTTTCCACAGAACACCTTGGGGCATGGTCCTGATGCCCACTCAGGAGCTAGTGGGTCCCCCCTGGCTTGGAGGGGGGGGCATACCTGAGGAACAGCAGATTCAGCACCTGCTGCGTGGTGGCAAACCTCCTGTAGGTGCACAGAAAGGCAGGCACGAAGAAGGGGTCTCCGCAGCGCTGCGCAGGCACTAGGTAGTTCACCAGCTTCTCCAGTGTGCCTGGTTCCAAGGTGCCCACACGGCCGGCCTCCTCCACCATGGTGGTGGACTTGTTTTTGCCCTGAGGTGATAGCAAAAGGGAGAGTTCAAGCTTGGAAACCGTAAGCAAGTCTGAAGAGCTCAGCACCCAAGTGAAACAGCATGGAAAGAAGTCCCCTTGTTCTCCCCCCGCCCCCCGCACACACACAACACACAGCACAGGCAGGGATCTGGGCAGCCAGGCTGGTCAGCGTGATGGGCTGGCTCGCTCTCACCTGTTCTAGGCTATCCCGTGTCACCTTTTGGATCCTGGGATTAATACGCCGGAGGCCCCGGGGGTGGCAGCTGCCCCAGAGGGTCCTCATTCGAACAAGACACTCACTCCACCATTTCTTGTGACCTGAACCTATGTAATTGTTAGGACTTTGCGAGGACATCCTGCTGTTCGTTGAGTCTCTTCATGAGTAACTGAAGCCAACCGGCTTCTGGTCTTCCAGGTTCCGTTTGGTGCGTTAGTAAGAAAGTGACGTCACTTCCGGCCCCTCTTTGTGAGCCGCTTCTCCCATATCATCTCTAACTGCCGGATGTCCCTTCCCCAACTGCTGTTTGCAAAACTGGACATACCAACAAAACATACCGTGTGCCATTTTGGGCCAGCAGACCCCAGTGCAGCCACTCCTGGGATGTAAAGCCAGCTGGCTGAGAACCAGGCCTTCCTTTTTAGTGTTCATATTAGGGGCTTGGATCAATGATTAGAGTTAGTTTTGTGTGAGGTTTGGAGGAATGCCTTATCTGAAGAGCAAGGTGATGTCTAGGTCTCTGGTTACAGATAGGCTGAGGGTCAGGTTATGGCCTTGGTTATTGTATCAGGTTGGCTAGGAAAGTGGGGTCAGATTAGGCTGATTTATCTTTTATGTAAAGGTCAGAGTAAGGGAGGGGGCGACAGGATAGCTCAGTGGACTAAGTGGCTTTTTAGGCAGGTGCAGGGACGGGGGTTCTCTCCTGGGTACCACAGGTAGTGCTGGCCCTGCCCCCAGAAGGCATGCTGTGCAGCCATCCACCCCAGTTGTGGTGGTACACACCTGCAATCCCAGCCTTGGGGAGGCTGATACCAGGAGGATCACCACGAGTCCAAGCTTTGTAGTGCGACCCTGTTCCAAACACATAATGAATAAAACAAAACAAAACAAAACAAAACAAAACAAAACAAAACAAACAAAAAAATGTCAGAGTAAGGTCATGTGGCATGTGTGCATTTTAGGGCCAAGCATATTAGAATGTTTTTACTACTAATGTTAGTTGTAGAGCTTTAGTTAGTGGCCCTGTTGTATATTATTTTAATTGTTAATCAAATTGCTAATAAAATTATATTGGAATGTGAAGACAGTGTTAATTCGAGACAGTGTTAATGAAGCTGAAGGCATGGGTGAAGGGTTAGTTTTAGGATTCAGGTGAGCTTTGATGATAGGGTACGAGTGAGTGTTGGGTTTAGAATCAGCACAAGGGTTGCAGTGAAGATTAAGGTGAGGGTTAGGGTTAGTGTGAGACTTTAGGCTCAGCAGCATCACAGTGTTGGCCTTTCAAGTTTAGATTACAATTGTTGTTAGTAATTAAAATTAAGGGGAGATTAGGATATTAGGGTTAAATTTTATGTCAGTTTGGGCTTTAAGGTTAGAGTAGGTGTTAGGGTTAAGGTTGCATTGGGAATTCCTGTTGGATTTGAATTGGGGTTTGGGTTTGAAGGTAGGGATAGTATTAAGTGTTTGGGTTTACAATTAGACTTCATTGTTAGGATTTGCAGAGATGTTTAGGGCTTAGGTTCAGGGTGAGCATAACTGTTAGCTTGAGAGGTTAGGGTGAGCATGAGAGTTATGGTGAGGGTTATAGTTAGGATGATAATTAGGCTGTAGTGAGGGTTTAGGGTAAGGGTTTGGAGTGAGATTCAAGGTTAATCTTATTGTTAGAGTTAATGGTTAGCCTTTGTATTTAAGATATGCTTGGATCTAATATTACAGATATGGTTTCTATTGACATATTGTTGAAGGTTTGTTTTAGGGCTGACGCTTAAAGTGAGGGATGGATAATTAGTGTTAACTTTATGGATTAAGGACAAGGTCAAAATTTAGGGTGAGGTTTCAGTTTAGGATTAGAGTTACTGGACAGTGAAAGAGTGAGGTCAGCTGATCCTGGAATGCTAGCTGTAGTAATGAGTTTGGCAGTGTCCTTCCTTTTCAATTTCAAAACATTTGGAAAAAGTTTGACATTAGCTCTGAATTGAACTCCTGGTAAAAATTCTCATGTAGGATCAATTTTCTTGATTTTCATTGTCATCTTTGTCATTTCCTTCTTGTACTAGTACTGGATTTGGACAGTTCTTGCTTTGAGGACCTCAAACTGTATGGTATTTTATTGGCATTGCTCTATTCATCCAGTGTGAGCTTGCATAGCTATACAATTCTACCTTTCAATTGCTTTGATTGTGTCCCATGAGCTTGGTATATCGTGCGGCCATTTTCTTTTCTCTTTTTTTTCTTTTTCCCCATTTTCATTTCATTGTAGGAGGTTTTAAATTTTTCTTGGCATATTCTGGGACTCGCTGATTGTTCAAGATTGTATTATTTAATTTTCAGATGTTTGCATGATTTCTGAGGTTTACTTGGTTGTTGTGGTTTATTTCTAGTATGATCCGTTATGATGCAGGAAATTGTTTCAGCTCTACTGTGTTGTTTTTACCATACTTGATGGTCCAAGATATGATGTTTATTCCAGAATGTTCCACATGCTTCTGAGAAAAATATGTTCTATTTTGCTATGAAACACGCAGTCCATTTGTTTGATGGTGTTGGGCTGTGCTGGCATTTCCTCTGGTTCTCTGTCTCAGGCTGCGTACTCAGTACTGAAATGAATGGGTGTGCAATTTTCTAGTAAGACTTTACAGATGCCTGCTGTGTTCCAGTTCTTTTTTTTGTCTTCAATATCACTCAATTGTCTGATTAATTAGGACATAATTCACATATGAAATACACTCTATAAAGTTCAATTCAGTATATTTACAAAGTGTGCACCAATCACCACTAATTCCTGCTTATCATCTGATTTTTAGATTTTTTTTTAAAACCGGAAAAATGAAAGTGCAGTTCTTTTGCAGGTGAAATCCATCATTTTAAAATAGCAATTTATCAATCCAAGTAATCAGTTTTCACACAGTTTCAATAACAGCAGCAATTTCCTTGAACTGTCTATAGAAATTCTGAAACTGTGGAATTGTCATCTCAAAAGATTTGTTCTTTACTTGACCTGAATGGTCTGACACTTTCAGCATCACTGCAATATAAGGATACTTAAGAGATCTGCAACTGTCCGAGCTCACAGCCATCCCCAGTTTCCGCTGAAAATCTATAAGCTGGTTGGTGACCTCGGACTTGACGTCCAGCGCCGGGTCCTCAGAGGCAGACCCCTCCATGACCCCGGCCTGTGTTCCAGTTCTGACTTCGGGGCCACTGTGCTTGAGCTGTCATCTGTCTGCATTAAATTCTGAGATAATTCAGATGTCGGGGAGCAGTGATTGTGCTATTTAGGACCCTGGGCTGCGATTGTATGTTTCTTTACTACTTGCAGTATGAGCTAAGTAACCTGCTGAGCTCTGTGCATTTGTCCCTTTAAGAGGAGGCTCTCAGGAATCTGAGGGTAGATCCCAGTTAATGGGCTTCGTTCTGAGAAAGGCAAAATTTGGGGACTTGGCACACTTACAGGCCCGGCCACTGGATGGCACCCTGGAGCTACGGTGCTGCAGTGTTTGTGGTCTCTCCTTTCCGACCAGATCCTTTAGGGCTGGCCCAGACTCCTCCTGCACAGTTGAGTGAAGTTCAGTCTGCACCTTCCCATCCAGGTGAGCATGAAAGAAACAGACAAAGCAGCCTGGATTGTTGTTGGGAAGGAGAGCTGTGACGTTCCGGGGTCTGTTGCTCTGTGCTGGAGGGGTCTGATAATTCAGTCTTCAGTATTTTGCTCTGTTTCATGTTAGCTTCTAGCAGTGCTATTGAAAGTGACACTTAATGCCTTCCCTATGCCAATGAGAGAATTACTGTGGAGCAAATTGATATTTGTGGTGGAACCACTGAGTGGTTCCTGTCAGGTAAATCAGTGTGAGATCCAGTGCAAAGTGGTGTGCAAGGGCAGTTCTTGCCTTGGTAGGAAGCACAGAGAGATGCCTCCTCGTTTAAAGCTGGTGTCTGGAGAAGCTGGGGTCCGTCCAGTGGCCCCATCCCCTCTTGACACAAAGTAATGTAGATCCTAAGGGCCAAGGATGTATCTCCAAGTAGACCACATGATTTTCAAGGCGAGACCCTGCCCTGGCTCCATCCCTGTGCTCAGGACCCCAGGCCCATGGAGATTTCTTTACAGCTGCCTGTTTGTGTCGCCTCTGTGCTGGCTCTGGGCCTATCATGGTGCCAGGAGTGTGTGGGTGAGCAGCAGCCTTTCGCTGGCAGCTTTGCTGGGTCTTACATGTGCTGCTGCAGTGCACTCAGGCCCTTTCTCACTACTATGTGACTCAAGGGCCTTTGCACTGAGCTACAACATGAACTTTTTGTTATTTTGACACAGAGGTTGCTAAGTTGCTCTGCTCTGTTACCCAGGCTTCTGTCCAACTTGCTGTCCTCTGACCTCAGCCTCGCCAGGCACTAGGATTATAGGTGTTTGCCTCCATACTTGGCTAGTTTCTTCTAACGTGTAGAAGTTTTAGATTTGTTCCTGCTACTTCTAAGTCTTGCAAGTGAAGAATTTTTACCTCTTTCCTTTATGTGTGATTGTCAGGAATTTTTAGACTAGAGTTGAATTTTTATTTAAAAATCACTTCTTTCTCAAGATGGAGCAGTTGGAAGCTGTGCTGAAAAGTGATCTGAAGATGCTGTTAGCCCAGCAGCTTGGGCAGAATGATTTTCAATTTGTTTTGGGCGTGTGGTGGTGTTCACAGGTGGGTATACATGAATGATGACCTGCGGAGGGGACCCTGCCTCCTCGTGCTGGACTGGCACCCAACCCTGAACTCCAGGCACTCCCAGTCCTTTCCATAGAGTCCCCCCCCTCCGCCTCCCCCACCACAGAGCTCCTTTGTAAAGGCTGGCTGCTGCTAGGAAGTCCAGAGACAAGGGACCTGAGTGCTCTGTGCCTGCCAGGCCCTTGCACCTGAGTCTAGGAAGGCAGCCCCAGAGTGCATTGGTAGCTGCGCCCTCCTGGGAGCTGATGCCAGAAAACCAAGGGTGTCAAGTACACAGCGGCTTCCTGGCTTGGGCGCTGTGAGAAGACTGCACTCCTGTGCTTCTTTCTGTCTCCTGTGGTTGGGACATCTGGAAGGTGGGGCTTGCACCTTACTTGGTATTCCCAGTGGATCCCTCTCATTCTGCCCCTGCCTGGTTCCTCTGCCACCCTGGAGACATGCAGGATTCCCTAGGGAACCATCTTTGATTCTGAGAGTTGCTGTGTTACTTTGCATAAACCTGGGGGCCATTTGTCCTTGCTTTTAGTGAGGTGCTCCAGGACCCCAGCAGACCTGCCCTGTTACCCATGTGTTCCCAAGGAGAGGGAGACCCATATACCTTGTTACCCAGGTCCCAGCCAGCACCTGGAGGCCAGGTATAATTTCAGTGATTGATGCATTTTTTGCTTTCATGAGTTACAAAGAATGTTTAGTGATTTGTAAACTATAGCTCATAGAATACTTTAATTTTTTTTATATTTTGGTTTGAAATCTATAATATGTTTTCATTTGAATGACAGTTCTTTAAATTCGATACTGGGACTTCACTGATATATTTCAGTGTTCTGCTCATAAAAATGGAAAAGTGCATCATCAGTTTCTGTGAAGGAATGAGAAGGCATTGCTCACGCTAATGTTCTGAGAAGGTCATCATTACGTTTTGCATCAATGTCATTGGGGTCAGAAGTGAACTGTTTGTTATTTACAGTGTCGAATGAAAGCAAAACAAAAAATCAGCCCTGTCAAAGAAGAAGTCTGTGTCCAGCAGAACTGTTCCTTACAGCGGAGGAGGAAATGGGGACTTTCCCAGAAGCAGTGGGGAAGGCCCTGTCAGGTCAGGGTCTCAGAACGCCTAAGGGAAAAGCCGGTAAAGCCACCAACTGAAGAGAACATGGGGCTGGGCACAGCACTCCCGCCCAACTGCCCAGTGCTGCCCTGTGAGTGGCTGGGCTGAGCTGTCGTGCCCTGGGCTCTGCAGGTCCTTACAAGAGGACATTCAGAGATGCAGGGATAGGATAGGGATGTGACTCTGGAATCCCAGGAGTGTCACAGCATAGGTAAGGGAATGGGGATAGCCAGGTGAGGGCAGATGGCCAGGGGCGCTGCCCCGCCCTCAGGGCTCTCCTCTGCCAGGAAGCCCCATGATGCTGAGGGGGAGGGAAGCATTTAGTTCCTGGTGTGGCCTTGTGACGTGTGACACACTCCCACACATGCAGGTGACAGGGCTGTGTCTACATAGTGTTTAGGGAGCACTCAGAGCCTGGAGGGACTGCAGGAGGGCATAGGATCTCCTGGCACAAGCCTGGCTTCCTGTCTCAGCCCCTCCTGATCACGGCCTGTGATTGAGTGACACCGTCCTCTCAGCCTTGATTTCCCATTTCTGAGGTGGAGGTTGGGCAGCTGCCTGGAGGGGTGGTGTTGAGCGTGGTTTCCCTGTGTGACTATAACTCCACTGTAACTCTCTGTTTCCTCCTGAGGCCTCAGTAAGGGTGATCCTCCCACTTCTCTGCTCTTACAGGACTCCTTGAACACCCTCAGGATGGGTCTATGCATGGACAGTTGTGCAGCCCCAGGAGGTGGCTAGGGTCTCAGAGGCCCACAGTGTACTGAGGTAAGAGGTGCCACCTCTGATGGGAGGTGGGAGAGGCCCCTCATGGGCCTCAGTCTTTTATCCTGCTCACTAGGGAACAGGGACACTTCTTAGATGCCTCGGTCATTCCTGGTGACTGCTTGGGACACATTTCATCTCCTTACACTGTGCTGGCACTGGCTGCTTCTGCAGTGCCCTTAAGAATGTCCGAGGGAGCTTATCAGAGGTGGGGCTCTCTAGCTGCGGACCAGACAGGGGGTGACACAAGTGATATAGGGCTGGCTGGGACCCAGGAGAAGTGTGTGACCCAGAAGGCAGCACTTCCTGGGGAGCAATTAGGAGGGTCAGGTTTCAGCTGGAAGGACTGACTCTGCAGGAGCAGGCTGGTCCCCCCCCCCATAGGAATGGAGGGGCTGGATAGAAGGGGATTCCTGCAGGCTCAAGCTCACTTCTTCCCTGCAGCTACCTGGAGGGCTGCACAGGCCTCTGTCCTCTGTTTCTATCCTTAGAGACTAAGAGTTAAGGCAGGAGTCTGGGGTTGATAAGCAGCATAGCAGAGGGGCTGAGCTCTGCGCGTGGAAATCAGCACTGTCTAACAGGGTACTGGGAACCCCTGGTGGCTGCTCAATTTTAAGTTCAGTAAAGGAAAATTTTCCTTCTTGGTCTCCAGGAGAACTTCCTGCATCTCCAGCTAGAGTCAGGCGGCCCCAGGTGCCCTCAGCAGAGGTGGGGGGTTTCCACTGCTGTGGGCTGCTGTCCCGCGAGCCTGGGGCAGATCCCACTGTTGGACTTCCATTCCTTGCTGCCTGCTCTGCTCCATGCTTTGTGAGGTGACTTCCAAAGGGCCACAGTTCATTGTGGAGAAGACTTAAAATTTTTGTGAGAATTTTTAGCGAGAGAAAAACTTGCAGTACACCACAAAAGTTTGTCTCCTGCAGTCGTTTCACAGGCAATTGCCAATCATTTGTGGCATCACACGTGATTGGCTTTATGTGCACTTATTACCAGGAAGGCCATTTCCTTATACATTTGCAGTAATTTCATCAAAATCAGGAGAACAACAGGGGTGCCTGAGGTCTTCAGGTGTCATTCAAGTTTGCCGTTTTTCAATTTTGTCATCTATTGCAAACATAAGATGGTGCCCGCCCAGAGCCACCCACCTCACTTCCCACCTGGGAAGGTGGGAGTTTGCTGGTACAGCTGAGGAGTTTTCTTGGGTCCTGGGAATGTCAGTGTCACCTCATCTTCTCACTGGGTGTTATAGGGAGCCCTGGACTCCCATGTGAGAGCCTCTGGGATCTTAGAGATCGCACTCCCCACTATCCCTGGGCCTTCAAGGAGCAGCCTCATGGGAACACCATCCTGCAGAAAAGGAAACAGTGGAGAGAGGAGCAAAGCCACACAGTGGAGCATCTGGCTGCCCCTTCTCCCTCCAGGACATTGTCCTCCTGGTGGAGACCAGCCCAATGTGCCAGCAGCTCCCCATGGTGGAGCCTGCTGTGGCTGGGCCTCACTGTCCCATGTCCAGCCTCCCTTTGTCCCTATGTGCCCTTCTCCAACAGCACCTGTTTTGTCCACTGCTGGAGAACAAGCAACAGCTGAGCGTGGGCATCCTTGTGAAGGGGGGACATCTCCAACTAGCTGGGCAGAAGTGTTGCAGCTCAAAAATCAGATGACAATGAGGCAAGTCCAAAAGTTAAAAGAAGCGCTTTATTTTACTGGTACCCAGTGGCAGTCTCTATGCAAGGTGCAAAGAGGCGCGCCGAGCATTAACAAGGTGCAGTATTTAAACTTGAAAACCGCAAAAACAGGGAAGGGGTGGAAAGGAAGAAGTGGCTGGGTCATTAGTTCATTAGGTGGTCTTATTGAGTAGGGTGCTGGAATCAGCAATCATGGGGTACAGCGAGTCATTAGTTCATGGGGGTGGTCCTGTTGAGTGGAGGTGCTGAATTGGCAGTCATATATAGTTCATTGAGATGAGGTTTGGGGAACAGATATCATAAGACTTGAGTCACAGGGGTGAGGAATTGGAGGAATTGGGAAATTGGAGGAGGAATTGGGAGGGGTCGGCCCATACAGAAGAGGAACTCCGCGAGGTTAGAAGGGCACCAAAATGGAGTCAATTTTGACAGGGTACAACAAGAAAGACCTTGGTCACCTCTACCTGCATCTCCAGCGTGGTCTAAGCATGGCAGCTCTCCTGAGGGGCTGTGGCTTTCGCTCCCCATAGGGGAGCTAAGGCCTGCAGAGGTCAGGGACTCAGCAGAGCTCAGAAGCTAGGGACGGCCCCAACTCAGTGCTTACCTTTGGGCTTTTCAGGTTCACAGTGCAGTGAAGGGAATGTGCGTTGGTGAGGACTTCGTATGTGGTGGGAGCCACCTCAGGGTGGGCCCTGCACTCTTCTGGACAGCTCAGCCTCCTGCACACAGGACCCAGCCATCTCCAGCTCTTCCTGCATTGGGCTAGGAGCTGTGGGAGTCAGGCCAGTGGTGAGGACAGCTTTGTCTCTGATTCTAGTGTGCTGGATAGAGACCTCTGGGAGAGGTGGCTGGCACACTGCCACCTAGATCCTTCCTTGCTTCCTCCTGCAGCCACCTGAGTGACACCTGCTTAATCCCTAACATGACAAAGTAGTAGGGTCCATAGATATCAGAATTCTCTTCACTCTAACTTTTAATTGCAGGGACACAAGTGAGCTAAAATATGCAAGACATTCTTGCTGTGGTCCCCCGCATCCAACTCTGCAGTGGATCTCCCAGTGGAATCCTCTCATCCACCTGGAACAGTTGC